GAATGATTTCTTCATTTTTGTCACACCAGTCTTGTTGCTGAGCAGAAATGAGGAGGAAGGGGACAAGGGGAGGCCAAAGGAAAGTTGACCACACAAATGTAATGTTGGAAGCATTAGACTGCATGGGGTTGTTCAGCCTCCACAAAGAACCAAACTTATTCCCATGGAAACCAATGTTCAAAGATGAATAAGTAGCCTGGCTCTCAGCAGCTCCCTTTCCTTTTTTCTCTTTTCTTCTCTCTTGGGATGTTTTGTTGCTGTTTTTGGTAAAGGGAAAGAAAGAGTCTCTTCACCTCCAAGCAGCTTGAGAAAAGACTGGCAACATTCATTCCACTAATAAGGTGTCAATTAATGCAAAGAGGAATGTCCTGGATTTCTCAAAGAGATGTATTTTTCAATAGGAGCTAGTCAAGATGTTGATGAGGTTTTGTTTCCTCTCTCTTTTTTCGTTTTGTTTTGTTTAAAAGGAACATAAACTTTCTTGAAAAAGGGGGCTGCTAAACTGGTGTTGTAAGTCTGCCCTCACGTGTTGGATTTTAACTCTTCAGGAGAGAAAGTGTAAGTGAACTCAGAGAAACCCACCAGATGTATTGTGGCACCACCCAGTACAGATACTCAGGTCTGCTTTTTTTAGTATTATGGTTTGGATACTGATGTAGGTGTAGTAATGGATTACATACACAGGAAGTACACAGAGGTATGCACTATCCATTTAATGTAGCAGATGTGGGTCGTTTTCATGCCTACACTAAGTAGATAATGAATTCAGAGGGAATGTTACAGGGCTGTTGCTGATGGTCTCAGTGTTATAATGTGTTGCAACTATTGACTGATGTCAAAAAAGATGAAAGGTGGGCTGAAAAGCACAAGGATGATCAACCAACTTTTAATAAGTGAGGAAGATAGTCTCAGAAATCTGAAGGAAATCCTTTGCATTTGGCTTCTTGAGAGGAGGACAATTCTGAGAACAGGAAATGCCGTAGGATACAGCGTCATGTGGGAAATGTCCAGTGTGAGTCAGCATGAATCAGTGCTTAGATGGGCACAAGTGCTTCTGCAGGTTTTGGAACCAATGAAGCCAGGTTTCCTCCAGGCTTCCGCCTGGGCCAACTGATCTGATGTCTCTAAAAGTGTCAGTGCCCACTGAATTTTTGGTATCACAAGCATCTACAGAAGAGCTTTTCCATCCAAAGGAGGACCTCTGATACCTAAATGATGATGTCATGCTGCAGCCTTTCCTTCAGTAGGGAATAAATTTCTCCTCTCCAGACATCTGTTTCTGTAAAATTTATAACAACATAATGTCTGTCCGTCTATTCCACTTGGCTGACATCAGCCAGTAGGCTCAAAATTATTGGGGAAACCAGCCAGAAAAAATGATTGCCTAAGCCTCATTTCCTTAGGAAACTCAGCTAAAAAGTTAATATTAGCAATGACTTGTGGATTGGAGCTACCACTGGGGGAATGCAACATGGCACTGAAGCTGTGTATGGCCAAGTGCAGTCTGGTGCGTTGCTCCCATTGTACTTTTGCTGTAAACTTTCTCCTGGGCCCTGTTGGCAAATAAACCTTCCTCCAGCTGCTGTGTGGGTGAATGGTCACAGCAGAGTCCTTGGCAGGGCCAGGAGCCTCACTGCTTCTCAGTTTACCCACTGCTTTTTTGGGGTGTGGACACCTGCTCACCAGAAAGGGATAGAGACCACACATCCATTTAATCTGGGTTTTCCCTGGCCTTCTGCACATTTGGGATCTGCACCCAAATCAGCAGTTTGCAGTGGGTTTCAACTCCTGTTACTGAGTAATTCATTTCCATGGCATTTAAAAAAAAAATTCTTTGAAAAGACCTGCATGTTCTTCTCCTCCTGAATATATGAGTTTCAATTTGGTTTAATGAATCTATCTGGAGTCCTTAAATTGTTCTTTAACTTACTCTTTTAAAGTTTTGTTATTTCTTTCTAGATAATGATTCATGGATGTGGAGTTTGAGAAATGTGTTTTCTGCTGCAATGAGGGTAGAAACCTGGGTCTCCATTTCTTCACTGCTGTCTAGGGTCTTCATTTTTATCAGCATGGTGCTGTTCTTGCTGTATATCCTCTCCTCTCTCCATTCTCTTTCTCAGCACAGTGCTTAATAAATTGCATTTATCTTTTCAGAATTACTGAAATGATAATCTCTGTTAAAAAATCCTTAAAACCCCATCACATTTCACAGCATTTCACAGCAGATTCTTCCTTCTCCATCTCCATCACACATGGTCAGTGATAGTTACCTCACTGTGATCCCTTCAGCTCCCAGTGTGTTTAAGAAGTTCCTTATATGCTAAGAAGGGCACACAGCCAAAGCTGCTTGTGCTGAGATTTTTTTTCTGTGTGAATATGAAGCAGGGCAATGGCATTGTAACTGCTTTGCAGCGTGAGCTCATTTTCAGTATTCTCTTTTATCCTGAGGCGATGACCTTTCTATTACCAGCCTCTCTGAAAAGGAGTACAACCACGTCTTGTCTGTCTTCTTGTTTATGGTTTATATGGGGCTCAAAGTTCTGCCAGAAACTTAATGCCATTTTACTGCCTGGTTTTACATTCTGTCTGTGATGTACTAATTATCGGGGTGTGACAGAGCACTTATTTCCTATCATAAACCAGGGCTGTTACCCAGGAAGGAAATTTTGTTTGAGTCATGAAGGCATATAACAATATGAAATATTCTCTGAGGACCATATTCTGATCCTGTTGACATTGACAGGAATGTTGGTTTTGTCTTCACTGTGAGAGCCACATAATGAAAGACAAGGCATTTCTATGCCTGCTTCTATTTTATTTTTTGAGAGCCAATTCCCCACAGCACTGTCAGCACTGGGCAGTTGTACACCTCAGCTGAATACCTGGTGCAGCACTAGCAGGGGATACTCAGTATGCTGGAGAGCCACAGTCTTTGTGGATGTAAATTAGTGTAGCTCCTTTCACATCAGGGGCAGTGCACTGTTTTATATTATGGGGAAGTCTTGCTCTCAGCTTCAAGCTGCCATTTCCTCCCCTTTTTAGAAGGAAAAAAGCAAAGAGCCTGCACTTTTAATCCATTCCTACTAAGGCGAGGATGGGAGGAAAGAAATAAAACAATTTGGAGACTGTGTAGCAGTTTCCTAGTTCCCTACTTGTGATACACAGTTAATGCCCATGACTTAATGGGAATACGCTCGCACTCAGCCACACTTGCCTACGGCAAAAGAGACAATGAAGTATTTCTGCTTATACCATCACAAGGCTTCACTTGAACAGCAGAAGCATAAGGAGAAACCAGATTCAAACCAAGAGCAAGGGTGAAGAGAGGGCAACTTCCCTCCTGGCCAGGGCTCTGAACACTGTGCTCAGCAGCACTGATTGTTGGGCACCTGTGCATCAGGTTCGAGCATTGTGCTGCTGTCGCTATCAGTTTTTCATACATTCACTTGCTGATGGCTATTTCTTCCTCCTCTGTAAGGAGGAAGAGATGGTAAAATTTAAGCACAAGAAAGCTGGTCTTTTTAGACAATTCCAGCAGACTATACAACCAACAGTGTTCAGAACATGTGTGATATTATATTATAGACATGTCTGGTTTTAAGAGCAGAATTCAGCCCTGAACTAATTTACATGATTAACACGAAGACAGAATGTCCCACCATAGATTTATAGAACTGAAATGCAAATTTTGATTTACATTCCAACTCAGTTACTTTCCTGACAGTTATCTTCCCCCTTCTCATCCTCCTCCTGAAGAAAAGAAAAAAAAAAAAAAAAAAAAAAAAAAAAGAAGCATTTTCATCTTTAACTTTTATCTTAAGTATCTCTTTCTGATCTTCTGCAGACTGAACCCTGACAGTTTTCAATGAAATAGATGACCCCTTCTCTTCCACATATCCCATCATTTATTGGCGTCTTGCACCTGTCAACTGCCACATTTTCTCCCTCTGGGAGCATGCTCCTGCTCATGTAACCCTTCTTTCCTCGTAACTAGAGAGAGAGCTACAGGTGTCAGTTAAGCCATGAGTATTTCTTTGATCTTTCCTAGATATTTTTTAATTGGAATTTTTCTTCTTAAGGGTTTTTGCTCTAGAGTAGAGCAGCATTTTGTTTTCATTAAGCCTGAAGCCCAAATTCTGCTGGTGCATCAGTGAAAAACGGAAGTGATTCCTCTCATTTCAGGAGATCACTCTGACTTAAACCTTATCCACAAAATAGTTTTGGTCTCCCTTTCATCTTCCGTGTCTTTTTCAGAAACAAGATCCCTGCTTATGAGTAGCCCTTCAACGAGTGCTTCAAATCCAGCCCTTATTTGTGAAAACACTCAGAAAAGTTCCCAAATCAGGAATATAGAAAATATTTACTTACACAGAAAATACTTCTCTATCTGGAAAATCAGGCATACTGAAGAAAAACCAGATACTTAATAATTTTCTGTGGAACTGATATACCCTTTGTCAGGACAGCAATCCTTTCTAACTGGTGTTCTGGAGCTGAAATGGAAGATAAGAGTTTAAAACACACATTACTGGGAAGACCATTTCCCTGTGCTCTCCAAGAGGCTCGATGTAGTCACTGCTGGCTTCCTCTGCACCACTGAAATTCAAATTGAAATTGGCCTCATCTCTGTGTCTTCTTTCAGAGATTTTAATAGTAATAAATCCTAAAAAGAGCATTTTAAAACTAACACCATCAGCCATAGCTGACATTTTAAACAGCTCTCTCTGGATATCTAACCTGATAACTTTCATTTTTGATTCTGACCCTTCCTTCTCCCTCTGGTTCTCCTGTCTTTGCAAAAAGACTCTGCTGCCTGTGTGAAATGGTTGGAGAGTGTCTGTGTTTCTAAAATAATGCAGTACCTGTGAAAGGTTTCCAAAAACTCTGAAACCATTTCTGCATATATCTTTTTTTTTTCTTTTCTTATTTTTTTTCTTTATTTTTTTATTTTTTTTTTAAATTTCTTGGTAGTGCTTTCCTTTCTGTGCCAGAGTATTCATGCTGAGGCACAGCCCAGACCATCCTGTTTCAGGCTGTCTTGTGCTGCAGCCAGTGATCCTTGTACTTTCTGCCCTGCCTAAAATACCCCTGAACAGTACTGCGGATCCAGAACAAGCCCTCTGGGCATCCCCAGCCCCCAGTCCCGCATCCCTTACCCACCCCAGCTTCTGTCCTTCCACGAGTCAGGGGGACCACACAGCATTTTCTGCCTCTCCTACAGGAGCCATTCAAGGTAAATATGTGTATGTGTGTGTATGTACATGTATGCATGTATATTTTAACCGTCTGTGTAATAAATTTCTGTCTCCTTTCAGTGTGACATGATGGAATTTTGAAAAGTTAGAAATTGGTTCAACTGTATTTCCCTGTCCTTTAATACCCCTCATACATCAGGCAAGGTTCCTGGTAGTGCATGTTTTCTCATCTCAGCCTATTGAACTATTGTCTTTAATATATTTCTTGCAACATCTCTTTGGAAGTACATGTTTTAAAAATGTAAGGAGGATGCGTGAGCTTTCTCCTATATTTATTCAATTCTCAACCCTCCAAACACTTGAGAATTCGAATTATTCAGCTAGGCTTAATGAGGCTGACTCGGAGTGAAGTTATGTGCATAAAAGTCAAGGATAGGAGGCCTTGATGTTATGCATTTTTAGGTGGTTATGGGGTTTTCAATATTAATGTTTATTACTGAATAGTCTGAAGGAGAACTCAGGCTGTACCTTTTCATCAGTGCTAGTTACTTTGCTGCAAAGGAGCTCCTTGGGGGGTGTCTGGAATGCAGAAGTTTGCTTGTGGAAGCATTGCCATCTGTCAGTGCAGATCTGAGGGCTTCGTGTCAGCCACTCCAGGCTCAAACCTTGCCAAAAGATAAAGCTGCAAGCTCTATGTAGGTTTGTGACACTAACCTCTACGCTCTCAGAATGATGACTTTCCCTTTGCCTCCTTTTCCCAATTAGTAGAACAGGAAAAACAATTTTGGATGTTCAAAATGGTCAGCATGAAGCATCGCAGTGCTGTACTGCAATCCCTAACAAAAACCACAAAGAACTGGGTAAGAAAATTGGACTACACTAAAAGCCTTACCATTTCCCCACCCCAGCTTGTTTGGGCATTGAAGGTTGGTTTGAGTTTTTGGTTTTTCTCTTGAATTGTCTTTGACCCTCTCTTTATATGATCCTGAAGAATGCGAGAAGGCCAATTTGCTTGAGGCCTTTGCAGTTTTGGGCAATGGGACTGCAGGAAGGACTTCTGGCCTCAGGCTGGAGAACTGAAGAAGACAGGTTCCCATACAGCTCTGGAGAAGAGATTGTTCAGATTGTCTGGCAAAGATGCACATGAGCGTGGGGACATTTAGTGCTGGGGACCAGGGACTCCTCACAATTAATCTTGCAAGCTTCTCTGGGCCTTCATCCTGACCTCATCCCTGCTCCCATTCATAAGTATAGGAAGAAAAATTCCTGTTGAATCACCCTAAGGATATGTTTAGAAGAAAACGAATCTTTTTTTCCTAGATATGCCCTTTGCTCTGCTAAAGCAGCTGCTGGGTAAGGCCAAGTTCCATCCTAGCCTTTCCAAGTAGTAGATTTTGCTGAATGCACCTGTGAGAGCAGAGGAACAGGTACCTTTTATTTTTGTAATGATTTTTATTCTGATTTTACTCAGGCCTTCAGCTATGCATATTTGCATATCTGTCTTTACAATTTTGAACTGGTAAAGGGATTTGGTCAGAACATGCTGACTGCAGGAAATGGAAGCCTTTTTTTTCAGAAATACCTCACTTTAATGAAGTAAATATCATGTTATACTCAGATCATTCCCACAAAGTTGAGTATTTGTCCTCTACAGCATTGTTTTGGGTTTTACACCATGTTGTAATATTCATACTACAATTATAAAAAATGCATAGCCATCAAATTGCTTTTGGAATATTCTATTTCACAGTAAAGGTATGACATTTTTGATTTTTTTATCCTCATTCTCCTTGAAGGAATATTGAAGAATCTGAGAATTCCCCACAAAATAAAAATTCCAACTTTTAATTAGCTTTACTAAAATAAATGTCATCCACACCTAGAACTATGGGATTTTGGAAATAAAGTCCCACCTGTTTCTTCAGAGGATTTTTGTGGGAGAATGAGAAGTGGAAGTACAGGAGAGGGAGGTATGCCTGTTGGTGATTTAAAACAAAAGCAGGACCCAATTTTATCTATAAAACGCTCCCTGATATGAGACAGCTGTTGCCTCTGAAGCTGTCTACATATATCTCAAAATCCCCAGGGTCCTTTTTCTTTTAACCTATATTGTATCCCCGCTGCCCTTGAGATTCTATACTAAAGCTACTTTCCTCACAATGATTTGATAAGAATATCTGCTTTGGACCATGTCAGTGTTAGAGAATTGCTGTCAAGCATCAAGAGATGCTCTCTCTCTCCTCCTGAGGCTTTAAAGATGCTATTCTAAAATTAAAGTGTTTGGTAGAGATAAGATGCTTAGGGTTATAATGAGGTCAAGAGTTGCTGGCAGTTTCCAAGAAGATTTTTTTTAAAATAAGTTGATCAGACCTCTTGTTGTGGTTATTTCCCTTTTTCAACAGAGAAATATAGACAGATCAGGTAGAGAAACAGTCAGGAAGAGAAAGGTTTAGAAAAATATTTGGAGATTATTCTGATTGCGTTTTCTGATGCAAGTTGCCCCATTTTATTATGCTGGCATCCTCTGCAATGCAATGTGACATGGAATATGTGATGTAATGAGATATGTCCACCAAAATGCAATGTGCTTTGTTTTAGTCAGAATATATTAATCCACTTACTGAATAATTGACCCAAAGAGATTCTGTCAAACAGTATTAAATTATTCACTGGATTTCCAAACCAGCAGGCAGTGTCCTTTAAATATTTAAGAATAATGTCAAATAATTTTCTACACCAAAATTATTCCTTTTTTTGTGTTTTTGAGGCTGTTCTCTGCTGTTTAAGGAGGGCAGGATAATTAAATAAAAGCCAGTGTGCCTTTCAGGTGCTTTCTCACCTAGCAGCACCTCAGAAGGGGAAGGAAATGCTCACCTGGTTCAGCTGTCAGACCTAGCCAGATCCATTAGCAATTTTTATGCCTCACCCATGCCATTTTTAAGGAAATCCCAAACTGTCCACATACCCGTACCTATAATTTCACCACTTAGCCTGTTGCCTCAGCAGTGAGTTACCCCAGAGAGGGTGCAGCACAGAGGCTGTCAAGTGTCCTGGTATTTCCTACCCTCAGGCCTCATAGAACCTCACTAGGTGTGCATTAAGAGATAACAACCTTGCCGGATCAATTTTGGTGTGGAAAATAGGTTTCCTTAAAAAAGGGACACCAGTACAGCAGCATTCAAGTTCTACCAATTACAGTGTCTGACACCTTTCCCCTTGAAGGCTGCATGCTGAACGAGTGCAGGGTATATTTCTGGCTTGTTTAAAAAGGATGAGGACAGGCATCTGATAGCTTACCTTAATTATTCCATTTCCTCCTCCCTATATACATTTCCAAAATCTAATTATAGTGCTCATGGCCCCTGCTATCAGCCAGTACCCAGATTAATATAAAGCCACGGGAAGGCCAGCTACCTCCCTTCACGCTTTCCACAACATTGCAAATCTATTCCAGCAGTCTTTTGATACTAATATTTTGATACATTCATCATTGTGTTAGCATCAGCAGTGAGCAATATTTACAGTCTCTAAGCTCTTCCAGGACCAACTGTTCATATTACTCCTGTTAAGTCCATTCAATTTTCCACCTGAAATACCACATTTATCTAGTCAGAGCTTGACATCTATTTTCAGGGGAGGGGGGAGGGGGTTGCTTTCAATAACAAGTTTTATTTAATTGTATGTTTTGCTTCTCCTAAAGAACACACTAAGGCAATCTGCTACGTGTTGTCAGTCAAGTAAGATGCACTTGCCTGCATCTTGGGGTTTATTATCTAGGACCTGATATGGGGACATTTTTGCACATATACGTCTGTGCTTGTTGAGGTGGAATTGCTTATCTGCTCTGTAGCTTTATTTGGACTGGAATTTGCTGCAATGTCCTCACAAGTGCAGGAATGTTGTCCAGGGTTATGGTCTGTGTGCAGTCAGGGGACAGCAGGCAGCCCTGCTTGATAAGATTGCTATTGCAAGCCACAAGTATTGTCACACTCTGTTTCTTTCAGTAAACAACCAGACTCCAAACACACTAAATACTTTTTGTCAAAATAAAGTAATGATTATTTTGCAACTGCTCTACCTTAAAGGCCTTTAAATCTGGCTTTAGAAGACAGCAAACCCTATGACTCTGCTCAGCCACAGTGAAAGTAAAGACCAAATGGAACAAAAAATATATAAGAAATTCTTATCATCATCATCATCATCCTCATCATCATCTTCTTCTTCAGACAAGGGAGAAAATTATAGCAGCACTAAAAATAATCTTTGCACCTCCTGCAAAGACTTACATAGGTCTCTGAACTTTAAATTCCAAGACTGCCATGGACATAATGGATTTCAATGTTCTGGCACCTTGGAACAGCAACAGCTAACCAAGACTTGGCCAGAGAATGTACTGCTCCTTTATTTTGCCTGATGGACTCCCCTGCTATAATCCCTACTTACTGCACAGGGAAATCTACCCCCAGAGCAAGAGCTTCTTTTGGTATAGAACTGACACCTTTTTCTCTCACTTCCTGCGAGCAGGAACACCACGGTTTGTGCATGGTACTGATGTGAAAAGAGCATATCCAAGACTCCTTTTAACAGTCATCACATGCAGCAGAGGTGATGGATGGAGATAATTGGGAAGGAAGTCGCTGTTTTATGAGAAATTCTACATTAAATTTGGTTAAATGGAACAGGAAGAAAGAAACCCATAGTAACTTCCAGGAAAAAAAAAAATAGGGTCATACCAAAGGCTTAAGAGAATCAAAATCTTTGATTCCAGTTTCAGTCTTAAAAAAAAAAATCTGCATAATAAATGTACACATTTAAAGGAATTAAAAGCCATAAATTGAAGGAGAAACTATTAATGTTCTTTTTTAAGAAATGACCTGCTAGAGCACTGTGATCTTTCTTGGATGGTTATTTTTTCTGTGCTCCAGGTTTCACTTGTTTGCAACCTTTTCCCTTGTTGGTCTATGATGCCTCAGGTGGGTCAAGCCCAGATTTTTCCCCCAGCATGCTGTTCATACTGCACCTGTTAAACAGGGCAGCA